ATAATAAATAAATAATTTAAAAAAAATAAAATAAAATAATAAAATAAAATTGAATTATAGTCTGGGTGTGGTGGCACCCACCTGTAATCCTACAGCACTCAGGTGAGGCAGGAGGATCATCCTGGGTTCAAGGCTAGCCTGAGCTACACAGTAAGTCCAAGGCCAACCCAGCCAACTCTGTCTAAAAACAAACAAAAAAACTACATTTCACACCTGGGCATAGTGGTGCATGCCTGTAATCCCAGCACTTGGGAGGCTGAGACAGGAGGATCACTGAGAATTTGAGGCCAGCCTGAGCTATCTGAGTTCAAGGCCAGCTTGGACTGCATATCGAGACTGCCTCAAAAAAAAAAAAAAAAAAATTGCATTCCACAAACCCCAATGTCACGGTGTGTGCCTGTACTGTCATCACTGTGAGACGCTTAGGCAAGAGGCTTTATGGTTCAAACGCAGTCTGTGCAATTTAGAGGTCTAGCTAGACCCTGTCTCAAAATAAGTAGAGTTTACAAAGAGGCTGGGATGTACTACAGTGTGAAGACTTTGGATTCTCTCACATATATGTATTTCCACTATTTTAAGCTCAAAATCATCTTAGAAATTGTAACTCATTGGGATTCAAGTAGATAGATTTCAGAGGTCTTGTCTAATAGGCTTTAATGGAAATACCAATTTATTTATTTATTTATTTATTTATTTTTCTTTGGCGGAACCAGGGATTGAACTCAGGCCCTTGCACTTGCCAGGCAGGCGCTTATTGTACTGAGCCTGAGCCATCTCCCCGGCCCCCTGAAAATACCAACTTAAAGACATGATGGGCGCATGACTCACGCCTATAATTCCAGCGCTGGAGAGGCTGAGGCAGAGCGATCCTGAGTTCAAGCCAGCATGAGCTACATAAGAGTTCCAGGCCAGATTTGGCTACAAGAGATTCTCCGAGAGACGAAAAAAGGAAAAACGTAGACAGAGAAAAGAGAAGTGTGGCTGTTCATCACAGCTCCATCTGCGCGCGTCACTTCGACGCCATTACAAAGAGCAAATGTTAAATGGTCTGCTTAATTACGCTTCCAGGTTTTTCAGTTCTCTTACACAAGAATCCACGTGGACAATATTTAATTGGGCAAAGGTTATTAAAAAGAGCCTCTGAGGATCGAAACTTCAAAACGGTAGGCGTGTTATAAGGGATCCTAGCTCCGCAGGTCAGCCAGCGTAGAGGAAGTGGCCGCGAGAAGCCCAAGTTCGGGGCTGGCATTCACCCGCGACGCCCGGCCCGACCCACACAAAGCCTCGCGGGGGCGGGGCCTCGTGACGTCACGGTGACGTCCGCCCCGTACGTCGCGCCCTGGAGAAGCCCGAGGGTTTCTAGCGGCGCCGGCGCCATTTTGACGGAGCCTGCGACCGAGGTGGGAGTGGAGTGGGGCGGCAGTTGTTGCCGACTCTTTCCTGCCCCCAACGGTCCAGTCAGCGGGGTGATTAGGCTGTCGGCCCTCGAGCCGAAACTTGTCTCTTACTTAGTTCTGTGGAGCGCCTGGCCGACATGAGTGATGTAGAGGAAAACAACTTCGAGGGCAGAGTGAGTACAAAGCCGCGGGAGCCGTCTCCGGCGGCGGCCCGATGCCCGGGGTTCCACCCGGACGAGCGCGGTCGGGGGTTGCGGGAGGTCCTGCGGGGCCCGCGAGAACAACCTCTGGAGCCATCGCGATTTCTTCCTCACATCCCAAGATGGCTTCTAGGTGCCACTGCTTCCCCAGGCACTACGAACAACCCTCCGCCCCCTTTTTCGGAGACTGACTGGTACCTGGACTCGGGTCTCCGGTGTCCCTGCCGGCCCCCGCCCCGAGGCTCCGCTATCTCGGCTCCGAGGTGTGGGTCCCGGTCGCGGTGGGGTGGGAGGAGGCGGCGGCCGGATGGTGGTAGGTGCCGACTGCGCTGGCGTTGCCGCGACCCCCGAGCTTCGCACAGGGTGTCGGGGTCCCCCGCGCGCGGGGCCGTCGTCCAGGACGTAGAGCTGCGCGGGGCTACCTGGGGCCTGTGTCTGCTTGGCTTTCTGTTGCAGTGAGCGGCCGCGTCTCTGTTGGAACCCGCGGCGTTGCGTCTATAAAGGGCGAAAGCCTTGAGGTTGAAGGTGGGACGAGCCCGGTGAAGTGGTTAGTGAACGACCTCACCGACCCTCACGCGTCCTTAAGACAGAGCTGTGAGGGGAAAACCGCGGAGGAGCCCCTCCCCTCGTGTTCTTGTTCCTTTCACTTCAGAATGAGTGTGGAAATGCTATAGCGCCTGCTTTTTCTAATTCCTTGATGCTGGGGTTTTTCTTTTTGTATATCTTCTAATGCTTTCTTTCCTGTAACCTTTCATCCAAAAGCAAACCACACCTTCATAGGTTTCTACGGTTAAAAAAAATTAAGGCATATTTTTTCTTTACTCTTACATAACAACGAATTTCATGGTTCGGTCTTAAAAGATACCTAGTCAAGTTTATATCTTAAAACTTTATCCAAAAATTACAGGCGCGCGCTCTCGCCGTCTCTCTCCCCACTCCACCCCCAGGAAGTAGGGCTCAGGGGAAAGTTTTCATTATTTGGGAAGTGATAAAATATAAAATCCTAGAGAATGTGTTGCCCTGAAGTACGTATCCTAGAACGTTGTTTGCAGTTTTATTTTTGAGGTTACCGTAGTAGTGGAAATTGGAAGTGAACGAGTGTGAAAGAAATCCTGAAAAGAAAACAGAAGCCTCAGGCAGCACATTCCGGCTGTTTGTGTAGTCACTAGAGGAAACGCAAAAAAATACTGGAGTATACTGGACGGAATCAATTTGTTCTTTTTGAAAATTCATTATACATCCTTCTATTAAATCAGAAGGTGGAGGAAAGAAACTTAAAATAGTAGGCAAGCGGACCAGGGATGTATCTCAGCACCGCAGCGCCAGCCTAGTAAATGCTATAGGTGCCGAGTTGGTTTCCTGCTACCAAAAGAAAAGGTTTTGTAAATAAAGTAATGGGATAGAAACCCCATAAAGACTAGATTTAAGATTGTGTTTCTAAAATAAATTTGGAGCTTGAACCTAGTTAAACCCACTTATTTTATTTCTTAGGATAGTATAGTGATTTTCCCAATTTAAATTTTAAGATCATTAAAAATATTAGGTGGTAGTTGTGTTTCTCCTTTAGTTACAGAAAGAAATTTTCGCTATCCATTTATCTTTATTTCAGTTTAACATAAAAGCTATTTTTATTTTAATGTTTGGTTTGTGGGGTGTATAATAATGGGACCTGGGTTCCTTTTTAATGTAGCATCTAGCAAAGGAAGTCCTAAATAACTGTCACCTTACTAAAGGAAGTATCATACAATATTCCCACCTATTTTAAAAAATTGCTTAAGCATAACAACTTACAGAAAGGGGAGTTACTTTTTCACTTATCATAAAAATATTTTTTCGTGAGTGATGTCCAAGTATAGTATATCAAATCAGCAGATTGGATAATTAATACTTCCAGCCTTACCTGTTTTTTAGGTTGAGGTAATTGTCTTGCTTTATAATTGGTTGAAAAATTAGAAGAATGCTAGGACTTTCTTTAGAAGTGAACTTTTTTCTTCAAGTGATTTAATGTTCACTAATGCATTTGCTTTTTAAAATGGTTATCTTTTTCTGCTGACCGTAATCCAGCATTTTATATAATTCATAGTTTCTAAAGCTGTCTAAAGCTAACAGCCTAGGCTCATAAAAAGATTTTCAAATACTGTGTTGTTTTAGTAGATATGCTTCAAGCTTATTTTTACTAAAATTAGAAAATTGACAGATCAATATTCAAATGTTAGGGCTACCAAAAGTGTTTGAAGAGATTAACTGACTTTGGGGTTTTCCCTTGTAGGACTTCTTTAGACTGCTTCTAATATGTTAAGCTGACACTTGAACCACGATGTCATTTATCTACAGTATATAATGGGTGCACATGAATACCATCTCAGTAAGAAAAAGTATTTAGAATTAGGTGAAAACATTCTGAAGGCTACAAAACATACTGAAGAAAGCATTAATATTAATAAAATGCCTCCTTTTACAGCATCTTAGACTCTTACACCCCAATATCTTTGATAAATTTTCTAACTTAGAGCTCATGATAATCTTGTAGTTTAGAAATTAAGTACTAAGACTCAGAAAATGATACACGCAAGAATCTGACGCAAGTCTTTATGCACACAATGCTGTGTGTAATTTATTTTGTGAAAAGCATAGTGCCCTTGTGTCTCAGAACCATTAATGAAATTTGCTAATAGTTAACCAAAGCAAGTTTTTCCATTTTAATGTCTTTTCCATCTTAAAGAACTAGACTTGGAGCTGGTGAGATGGCTTGGTGGTCTAAAGCACCTCCTTAGAACAAGCTAGGCTAAGCAAAGCACAGGGACCATGGTTCAATCCCCCAGCACTACATGCCAGCCAGCCCCGGCCCCCTGGTGGGCTGAGCTGGCCACACACACAAGATAAATAAATAAATAAATAAATAAATAAATGTTTTTTTTTTTTTAAAAAAGAACTAGACTTGCCTGGTGTGGTGGCTCACACCTGTAATCCTAACATGGGCTGAAGCAGGAGGATCATTCCAGACCAGCCTGGGCTACAAAGTGAGCCAAAGACCGTCCCGAACTGCATAGGGAGATCATGTCTCAAAAAGACCCACCCACCCCCACGAAAAAAAAAAAATATATATATATATATGTATATATATATATATAGGCTTAAAGAATTTAAGAGAATTGACTGAATTCTGTTTTAGGTAGAGTGAGTTGAAACTCATTGTATTTAAGGACTAGCTATAGCTGGCGTGTTTCTTATTTTGGCTAGGTGTTCTGAGTTTTTGGGACATATACCAAGTTAACAGATGCTTTTAGTAGAAATGTCCCTTGGAGCTGGAGACAAATTGGGCACTTGTATGGTTTGTGTTTCATGTTCAAAAAGTATTGTTGCCAGGTGTGATACCGCGCACCCCTGTAATCCCACTACTTGTTTGGTTGAGGTAGGATAGCCATGAGTTTGAGGCCAATCTGGGCTACACAGTGAGAGCCTGTGGGGAGGGGGAGTTGTTTTGCTTCATGCAGCTTTATGTAAATTAGGATTTTGATCTCAAAAAAATTAGTGCCTTTTATATAGCATAATGGCGTGTGCCTGTCATCCCAGGCACTTTGGAAGCTTGAGGATTGTTGTGAGTTCCAGAGTGAGACCCTGTCTTAGAAACCCAAGTAGATAGATATCAAGAAAAATGAAAATTAAACTTTGTAATGTGCGTTGTTGTGCTGCTGTTTGTCTGCTTTGCAAGGCTTGTTGAGGCTTCTTGAATAGCTGGAATATTTTTAAAAAGACTTGCTGAGTGGTAGCAAATGCTTGTAATCCCCAGCACTCAGGAAGGCTGAGGCAGAGCAAGTCACAAGTTTTTCATCTTGTACAATTTATTGACTCAGCAAGACCCTTTCTTAAAATAAATTGAAAAGGCTGGGGATGTAGCTCAATGCAAAGTCTTCAAAGGCTCACACTCCAGTACTGGCCTCCCAAGCCCCACAAAACTCCCAAGGGTCCTCCTCCTCCTTAATGGATGATTGCATGATACAAGAAAAGGAAAACAGGTTTATCAGTACTAAATGAAACTGAAAGTTGTATGTTGTTCAAGAATAGAAGTAATATGGAGCCAGGTGTGACAGGGCAATCTGTCCTGGAAACCAGCCTTCTAATCTTAGAAGCGAGCCTGAGCTCCATACTGGGATTACATAGGATAACCCTATTTAAAACAAAACAACTAGACCAGGGAGATAGCTCAGTAGAAGGGCCTGAGTTCAATCCCTGGTTCCACCAAAGGAAAAACAACAAAAGGGAAGGTATTTTTCCCCCCACTTTCTCTGAGATTAGATTTGTTTAGTAATGAAAGTGATAAACAGGAGTGGTAGTGGTGAACATCTGTAATCCCAGCACTCTGAGAGACTAAAACAAGGATTGTAAACTTGAGTCTATCCTCGGCAATTTAATGTTGAGTCTCTTTGTCTCTAATAAATTTTAAGGCAGCTAGGGATGTAGCTCAGTGTTATGACCCTGAGTCCAACCACCCAGTACTTAAAAAGGCTTGATGGATTGACTGGATTTTTTTCTTTAAACTGGGGTTTAAAGTTTTGTGTAAAATTTACCAGGGATTGAACTCAGGCCCCTATGCTTGCCAGGCAAGCCCTTATTCTACTATTCTATTGAGCTATCTTCCCAGCCCCAGTATATAAAACTTTAAGTGAGTCATGCCCATAGCACCAGCTTCAAAAACAGTCTTCAGCTTTTTGACTTCAAACATCATCAGATCAACCTATTACGTCGGTAAAGCTTTCCCATTTTGGAGTAGGTGTTTTGTTTTTGTTTTTTTTTTGGGGGGGGGGACCCAGGATTGAACTGAGGCCACCATTTTTGGAGTAGGGATATGAAACCTGTGAATTACCTTGGGTTTAGTTTATTTCCCTAAAGTTGAATACTGTCATTTATACAGTTTTAATAAAAATTTTGTCTCAATCAAGAAAACAGTTTGCAAACCAAAGGAAAAATTTCTT